TTAGATTTATTACTATCTACTTAGCTCATAAAAATGGTTAAGATTTTTTGTTTTGTTAATATTTAAAATACAGCTTAATTAAGAGTTTTCTCTGAGGGAGGCAATCTGTTTAATATATTTTCAGAAACAGAACTTCTTCACTCGAGTTTTAATCTTTCTCTGTTCATCTCTATCATTCACCTTATCTTTCCCTTTATTAGATAGAATATTTTCTTATTTTTAAATTAAGAATTTTAAACAACTATATAGATGAATCCATTTGGACCACAGATAAGAAAAACATCCTGCTCCAAAAAACTTCAGAATCATTATTAAACAGCTCTGTCATTAACCAGGTGTAATTACAAATGAGCGAGTCAACTTTTCTGGGTTCTGTTTCTAGAAACCTAGAAGTTATTTAAGTTTTCTCTATTGCCTTCCACACAGAATCAACCAATTCTTAAATATTCTATTTCCTAGGGGCTGGGGAGATGGCTCAGTAGAATAAGCACTTCCCTGGCAAGTGCAAGGGCCTGAGTTCAATCCCTGGTTCAAAAAAAAATTCTATCTCCTATATTTCCTTCAAAAGTCTCTGTTTTATTCCTAACTCAGGGGCTTCTGCTTTGGTTCAAAAATCAACCACTCACTTAAATTATTACTACAGCTTTATTGAAATGCCACCTCTTGCCTTGGGATCGCCCCACAAACTTTTGTTTCCATATTAACCATATTTTGTTCTGAATTTTCTATCAATGACCTTCTCAGCACTTCCAGGATAAAGTTCAAATTTCTTGACTTTTTATATAAAGCATTTCATTCTTCCCATTTACATCTCTCATCTTTTTGTGACCACTGTTTGCTAAATCCTGTGGTTTTGTGCATGCTGCCTATATTGCTTGAAGAAGCTTATATTGTTTCTTACCTATTTAACTTTTTACATTTCTTTAGCTATCAGGGCCAGCACTGTTTTCCTCATAAGTTCTTCTAGGATTTCTCTTGCCCTCCCTAATTTGGATATTTGTCTTTGACTCTCTCATATAATTTTAAATTTATAACTACATCAAACTAGAATGTAATTGTAACATACATCTCTTCTTGACTAAGCTATAAACACTTTTTGTATAGAGAAAGACTTATTCAAGTTTGCAACCATAATAGTTTAGTAAATAATCAAATCAAATACGCTATAAAGTGCAAGAGTGCTGATTATATTATTTGGGACCTCCAATTCTAGCTTTTTTTTTTTTTTTTGAGAAATATCCACACTGATTTAAACAGTAGTTGCACCAGTATATACTCCCATCTATGGCAGAGAAGTGTTCCTTTTCCCCCACAGCTCCTCCAGCATTTGTTATTGGTTGATTTCCTGATAATAGCTGTTTTATTAGGGGCTAAAATGGAATCTCTCAAGTGTCTTTTTCATTTGTATCTCTCAAATGACCAGTGATATTAAACATTTGTTCATATATTTATTTGTTCTTTGTATTCTTCATCTGTATATTTATCTCAGATGCACATTTTTGGATTGTGTCTTTAAATGTGAGAGGTTTGATTTTTTGAATTTTTATATGGTCTTGAAAGTACTCCTTTGTCTGAGGAACAGTTGATAAATATTTATTTTCCTTATTGTGGGTTGTCTCTTCATCCTGATGGTGGTTTCTTTTGTGGTGCAAAAGCTTTTTAATAAGATCCTAGTTGGTGATTCTTCGTGAGAGTTCCTGTGTAATCATAAAGCCTTGACCTATACCAATATCTCCAACAGTTTTACCTATCATACCTTCCAGCAGATTTAATGTTTCTGTTATGCCATGTAGATCTTTGATTCATTTCAAATTTAGCTTAGCACATGGTGCAAGATATGGGTCCAATTTTAATTTCCAGCAGGTGGAAAGCCAGTTTTTTCCAGTACCATTTATTAAAGAAGCTATATTTCTTCCAGTGACTGTGTTTAGCACCTTTGTCAGAGATACTGTGGTTGAGTATATGCCATGACATCTGTAAACATTTTTAAAAGATCCTTTGTGCTATCTTGTTTTTCAGTAATTCCAATTACTCTTAAGCTATTCTTTGCATCACCTTGCAGCTGTTGTATTGATTTCTTGTGATCTCTTGTTATTTTTAAGGAGTCTATATTTTCATGATTGCTAACCACAAGCCTGTCTTCCATATCTGAGATCCTGTCCTCTCCTTGGCTTTATTCACTGTGGATACTAACAATGGATTTTTATTATCCTGGATATCTGCTTTAATTTGCTTTATGGAATCCACTTCATTCCTATGTGGAACATTCATTGCTTCCATAATATTCTTAAGCTCTTCTATTTTTTTTGTCTGTATCTTCTCTAGAGTCATTAAACAGTTTTTATTATGTACACCTTCTATGCAGTTACTTGAGAAATTTTTTTTGATTTGACTTTTTTCTAGAGCCTTACTCACTGCTTTGTTGTTAATACTTTAGAGAGGCTAGATCGATGGATTTTTGGATTTTCCACCTCATTTTCCCCTTTGCCTTTGGTGAACGGGGTGTCTGGGGTTGCATCTTGTTTAAGTGTCTTACCATTTTTTTTAGTTTAATTTCTGGGGTGATGCTTATAATTTGCCTATGGTGGATTGCTTTATTGATAGTATTTAGAATACTTACGAAATGACTACTTCTCCAAGGTATCTTACAGGTACAAATGGTTTTTAGGTTTTGAGTCTGCTGCAAGATTCTATGTTGTCAATTTGTTGGGGATAAGAAGTTGCTGCCTGTTTTTCCCAGGCCCTGGTTCTTTGACACTGTGCCACAGTATTTCCCTTTAGTCAATCTCAGTCTTGTAATATGAGGAAGAATAGCTGTTTAGAGCAAGTATGTCCCTGTTGGCTAAAGTGGTATCATCAGTAATAACAGTAGCAACAATCATAGACTAGAAAATGACAAACTTAGGTAACAATTAATTTGCCACTTGTAACTGTATGAACTATATTTACAGTTATATAACAAAATCTAAAACAGACCAGGAAATTTTATGCAGTATGTATGTCCTTAATATGTCAACTTTACCCTCAGGGTTTAAAATTAAAAGGGGTTAGGGAAAAAATAAAGAGGTAGAAGAAGAGATTAGAAGTTAAATCTGGAGGACAAAGGGAATCACACTAATTTTGGGAAACTAGTGAAGAAACTGGCTGGAAAGTGAGAAGAGATAAAAAGAACTGAAAAGGACCAGGGAGATAGCTCAGTAGAGTGTAAGTTTAAGGTCCTGAGTTCAATCCCCAGCACCAAAAAAAAGAACTGAAAAGAACAGCCACCCAAACGGGCTAAATACTATACTTACATTTGTATAGAAAGATTAGACAGTGAAGGAGAAAACCAAAAACCAAAACCACCACCACAACAACAAAAAATAGGACAGCAAGCAAATTAAGTCCACTTCCAGGTTTGTCCCTGCTGTCATTGGTAGACAATGTGTAGACAGAGTCCTGATCCATGCAGACCTATCTGAGCAAGCGAGCAATAGCTTTTTGGCGGGATTGGGAGTGATCTCAGAGAGCCTGCGCCTTCTGCTTTTGACCAGACTCATTCAGCCTGCAGCTGTCAGCACACGTTCCTCAGGCCTGAGCCCAGCTGGGAGCTGGCAGCCACTTTTGAGCTCAGTAGACCCCTCTCTAAGATGGCTCCAATGGTGCATCCCTCCCTAGAGGTCTCTAGGGTAATTGTATGTCCACAGTTTTGAAACACTCCTCTCCAAAAGTAAGTCCCACCTAAGAGAGAAGGCATCACAGGCTACCTCTTTCACCTCCACTGAAGTTTATCCCTTTGTTTTCTCTGTAGGTGTGAATTAGCACCTCAGATCCTTCCTGGGTCCTTTTCTCTCCCTCTTCTCTTCCTCATGCTGCTGTATTGCAACATCCGGATTGCAATATTCAGAAAGGCTCTTTCTCTGCTGCTCACCACTCCACCATCTTGATGCCTCCCTCTCTATTTGGACTTTTATCTAAGCATCTACATTTCCTTTTCCAAATAATCTGACCTGAATCTATTATTTATTTTCATAGCTTTTCTAAGCCTTAGTTTTGATATCCTGACCTCTTTGAACTGTACTCTTGCTGGACTGCCTCATTTTTGACTGACTTTGTAAATGAGTTACTATGTGCTTTTATTTGTTTTGCTGATGCCTTTATTCCTGATCCCTAATCTCCCTAATTCATATTACCTGCCAGATTCACACACTTTGAAAAAGTAACACTGGCGCATAAATCTGATAAAATAAATTACATAATTGAACTAATTTATTTAGAAAAAAGAGAAAGGAGCAATTTTATAACTATAATAAAAAGTCCAGTTTTTCCATGTGATGAATGAAAACTAAAACATTCAATATTTCCTTCCAGAAGTGGTAATCAGTAGTTTCCTTACTTTCACTGCATCACACTTCACAATAGGAAAAGCAAACATTTACTTCAATAAAAAGATTAAAACAGCTCAAAGAACCACATTCCCTATATGGTCCTGAACCATGTATAGAGGGACTTACAAACACTCTAAAAACACTCTCAATTTGTGTGGGAATTTTTGCACAGGAAAACTGTACTGCAATAAAATATTGTCAGTTTTATTTATTTTTGGTCTTTTGGAGACTGAGTTTCACTATGCTCAGGCTGGGTTTCGGGGTTTCAGGCCAGTTCAGACTGGCCTCAAACTTGCAGCAATCTTCATGCCTCAACCTCCCAAGTTCTGGAATTAATAAACACGTGCCACCACACAGAGCCAAATAGTGTTAGTTTCTATTTAGTTCCTTCTCTTAGGGGGTCATGATATGGAATTAAATGTAGGCTGAATCAACAGTATGTGGAAAGCTGGTTAAAAAATCTACTACACAACTTTTATTATTTTTGTTTGTAATTAGTTATTATAAGTAGGATATATAATAGTAGTATGTAAGTTTACTATTCATTTCAAACTTTTCATTCAATTTATCTTTTCAGTTAGTACATATTTTAAAGAAAGAATCAAAGGAGAATACTGGAGAAACGAAACTTACCCTCATCTTCCCAACTGTCAGCAGCATTCCCATCCCCTTCGCTGCCCCCTGGTAACACTGTCTGGCCTGCTGGCAAATCACTGTCTGGCACACCACCATCACAGTCTGCTGGGTCTGTAACACTGTCTTCTTCCACAATGTGGAGTTTGTCTTCATCATCTGAATCTGAATTTGTTTCTACCACAGTATTATAATTTGTAACTGCAATACAAACAAAAAATAAACAATCAAAACTAGTGTAAAACTAGTTGTTACTGCAATACAAACAAAAAATAAACAATCAAAACTAGTGTAAAAGCAGTTGTTATATAACAGAAAACCAAATTACAAAGGGCACTTAAAACACTGTAATTCAATGTTTTCCGTTAGACCACAATATATAAAAATAATTTGCCAATGCACACTTATAGCACCTCTTAGGTAGATTACCAAAAAGTAAAATAACAGGAATACATTTATTGGACACTTATACACACTAAATCACTTAATTTGTACAACTTTACAATAACAGAATTCTACTACCTACTAATAGTTCTATTTTATATATGAAAAATAAGGAAGAGAGAGGATACCTTCCAAGTTCACACAGCTAGGATGTTACAGGGCCTGGATTTGAAGCCCAACAGCTTGATTCCATAATCTGTGTTCTTAAGTTACTGTATTAAATTTGCTCTCTGACCATAATTACCTTTTTGCATATAAAACTTCATGTTGTTAGACCATCAAACCCTTGAAGTATTACAAATTAAGAAAAGATGCCACCTTTCCTAACATCACTGTCATTAAATAAGCACTGTATCACTGAGTTTTCATATTAGTATATATTTCATATTAATCCAATATTGATCTTAGAAAGAATTAACCTATATAGCCACATTCTTTGTAATGAGTTTTAAAGTAATGTTCCTAAGTCTGTAACTCTAAAAAAGTGACACCCAAAGGTTTTCAGATGGAAACCCATCCCATAACTGTTAATGAATTTCAATGAATTTTAATTTATCCCGGATTATAAAGATTAAATTAAATTTAAATTTATTCTTGTTTCTATCACTTATAGAATCTATAAGCAATAGCTGAAAATAAAATTCTCTAAAATAAATAATCTAGAATAAACTATTTTTCCTTCCCAGTTCCTATCACAATCACTATAACTGAGTAAATATGTAGTAGTTGATGAGGAATTATCACTTGGATATCTTGTTTCAACTATTTGCAGAATGATTCTCACTTAGTTTGAGAAAACAGGAGAATAATAGCTTTACTTTGGCCATACAATTAAGCAATAATTACTTTTATTCTTTCCTTTTCTTCCTTTAAAGAACACCACCTAAATGCTTAAATGATAACTTATACATATTCCCCCCTCCAAAGAACACAATTACAAGCATAAGTAAATATGTAAAGTTGAAAATAAAAAACCTACACCTTCAAAGATTCTGCTTTTATACACCTTGGAAAGACCCCCTTGTGCAAAAGAGTACCTGAAGTACCGTTGTGCTAATATTAGGAATTCTTCACTATTTTGAGTCAGAAAAAAGTACCATTTTGTGTGTTAACACTTAAGCATGAATATATTTTTCTAGGTCTTTTCCTAGGAGCAAATGGTGTTTTCCTTTATTGAATGTTTACTACAAAAATTTTTGACCATAAAACAGGCAACAGTAAAAGTATTCCTATTCCCTTCTTTAGTTTATTCTAGAAGACAGAAACTTATAGAAAAATGCCTTAATGCAGAAGATAGGCATGATACTAATCACTTTCACATAACTTATTCTATTTTTTGCAATGCAAACTTCACCTTATACATTGATATGCATACTTTTGATATAAATCATTTTTTTCCATATATAAATCTGCCTGTATATTTAAAAAGATGTGTGGTATTTCAGTACCTTTTTCCACTTTATAAGGCATCCAGAAAAGGATGTTGTATTGATATATATAAAGCTGTCTTGTTTTCCTCTGAGTGGTTACATAGCATTCCATTCTATAGTCATATTTTAGTCAAACATCTAATGAAGTTTATTTTGTTTGTGGAGGTAAGCACTAACGACAGTGTCACAATAAATTCCTTTATAGATACATATCTTTGGCTATTCCCTAAAGTAATTTGTCAGGTAAGTTAAAGGGGTGGAACTGCTTAAATGGAAATTTAATACTACTAAATATATATTGTTAAACTTTTCTACACATTTTTATGGTTCTACAAATATTAGAAATTTCTTTTGCTCTGATAAAGCGAAAGTCTGAATTAAGATGCAAACAAGGGAAATTTATTATACTCCCGCCAAAAGATGAGTGGAGTATGTAGGAGTATGGGGGAAGAGTTTTCAAAGGCTGATCCACAGCTGCCTATAAGGGTTTCCTGAAGAGTCTTTAAGTGATAGTACACATGCATATGTGCATACACACTTGAAATAGGGACTCTTACTGGCAAATAAGATAGAATGTCATTAACTTTCATTTTTACTTTGACAGGTTCCATTCTGGTATTCTACTAAGTGACTTGTTAAAGTCATTTAAAAATGGCATTTATATATTATGTACTAAAATTAGAATATGGTTAGTGTTTATTAAGATCAGTCAATTCTTGACTCCAGTAAGATCTGGCTACCACAGATTGTCTCACTGCAAAGCTGTCATGTAATCATATATCCAATCTTACATAACTATATCTGTTAATCTCAGCAAAAGATTTGACAACAAAGATAGATAATATATAAACTTTTGTTAATAAGCTATTCTTGATCTAAAAAGTTGTAACATGTATTACTGTGTGTTACCCTGTTTCTGTCATTGTTTCTGATTTTGTCTTTTTTAAAAAAAAATTTTTCCTGGTGTTTATTATTATAGCAGATTTGTTTTCTTAAATTTGAAAAATCTGAAGATTACTAATTCATTCAGACTTTGAAAAACAGAAAGTCTCCAATATATTCAAACACATGAGGTATCTTTTAACAGTTTTTCTTTGAAACTGAACCCTCTATCTTTCAGCATTTTCTGTTCACTTTGTATGTTTCTCCCCATCAAGTTGCCCCTTTAATACAGTTATATTGCTGTTTTAGAAACTTTATGACTAACATTCTGCCTTTCCTCCACAACAGATTACTTTCTTTCAAACTGACAATTTGTAAGAACACTAGAATTTTATTTACCTTCTTCTCCCTTTTCCAACATTGTCACTTGTCCACGTATCTGTACATCAAGGCTAACACATTTACACTCTATTTTGTAGCCATGATTTAGTATTACTTTAAGGATGAAAACCATATACAACATTTTCATTGCAATTATTTAAATGTTATTCACAGAATAAGTTTTGCACAGTGACTACATTTCCTCTTCTCTGGTCCCAAGGTCCTAATCCGAGCGCTGTTCACAGGACATTAGACATCATTTTCACATGCTTCCACCATTTGTTCAAAATCTTGCAGTGTATCAGGTCCAGTATTTAGAAGATGTGTGTCCTGTATAGATTTGTTTTTTACTGAGAATTTCAATATTTTTTTCTTGTGGGGTGAAGAAATACATGACTTTCACCTCATGCCCTTAGTACCATGGGCGTCTTATTCAGTGTCTAGTCTACAATCCAGTCTAGTATTTCATAAGTTCATTGAGTGCTGAATTGCAATTCACAGTTTAAATTTGTTGTTCATTTAACTTTTTTTTCTGCAAATTTGGCCTTTCTTTTTTTATAATTCAACCTGCGGCCTTTCTTTTGTCCCGAATTCTGTCCAAAGTTCATATTCCAGATATGCAGCTTCTCAACCACTTCTGCGGGTCTCAGTTGAAGTGCCTCCTTCCCACAACCGCATCTCCCCTAGGCAGTTTCAACAGCACTTCTGCCACTGTCCCGGGGACCACGCGGAGTGACAGCGCACGCGCAGGTGGCGCCAGCAAAATCGCGAGAGAGCGAGGCTCACAGTGCCGTGGGCCTCCTGAGAGTCCCCCATCCTGGTGGCCTCCGGAGCCCCGCAGCTTGCTCATGGCTTTATATGTTTATATGTGTACCTGTAAGCGGATGTTCAGGATCACTGAGCCCTCCTTGTCTTTTACTTTTCAAGGCAAAATACTAAAATTAAATTTAATAATAAAAAACCTCTCATGCTTCAAAGTGGTGAAACTGTAGGCATGAATAGCCGAAATTTTTGCTGTTTTGTACAGGGAGAAGTCAGTTCTTCTTTGATATTCTGAGTTGACCATAGTTTTTCATCATTTTATTTTTAATAATTTTATTGAGAAATAAATAGCAATGAGACAGTTTCAAAACTGATTAGGACAGTTTCAATAATTAATACATTGCATATTGTTGTCTTTCTTAGTGGTTATTCATAGTACGAGATGCAGGCATGATATCCTGTCCACAAACACTTTTAGTAGAAATCTTTCTATTCATTGAGAGAAAGTAGCTGTATATCTATCTTAACTAGTTTGCATATACAGACACAAAATGGTCCTTTATTTGTAGTCCTTTTCTTGTTTAGTTTGGTCAGAGGGTATTCCATTGTCATTTAAATATGGTGTGTGAATTCAGCAATATATTCCAATGTAGTCTAGTAGGCCATAACAGTAGTGGGATATCTGTAGGACTGGAAATGTCAGAAATTGTTGAATTGAGCATTTTACAGCTCAGCATATTAATACTGCTTTACTTTTTATACTTCACTTTATACTTTTCTGCTGGATGGCTAAGACCAAGATAAAGCAAAACCTATATAACAAGAAATGTAACTTTTGTATTAGACAAGGTCAGTCACAATCCCCTCAGGATTTATCCTGAAACCCTGTACTGCAGTTTGTAAATCCTTTGTCAGTGTCAGCCATGTGGATGAATCACAGCCATTGCTTAACCAATTTGCTCTCTGTGAAAACCTGAGAGAATATTTTTACGCCACATGACTCTCTTTAGGCACACTCTACATTGTCGATTACATTCTTCTGTGGCCCCATAATGTTCTTGATCAGAAAATGTGGGATACATCTGAGTTACATGATGGTATAGTACAGGTTTTCCTATGTCCTGAGTCCTTACTGACCTTGAAAGGCTAGGGCCAAAATGTTGGCTGTCCTTTCAGCCCTTCTTTTTCTCTAATTTTTGGTCTGCAAACGTGAGTTGTTAACCTTCCACAAGAGAAGCTTATTATTATTACCCTATAACATAAGCAGTTGAGCTTAATCTCACTGTCTGTCTGAATATCAAA